CAGCCAATGAATAGACATGGCAACTAGGTCAGCCAATGAATAGACATGGCAACTAGGTCAGCCAATGAGGGCTGTTTGGAAACTGAAAGAGTATTTGCTGTGTGAGCAACAAGGAAACAGCTAGGAGCCTGGGTGTGTCTTAGCTCTGTAGCTCTGAGTTTGTGCTGAGCTCAAAAACTAGTCTGCTGCTTTAAACTGAAACAGAAACTGTTCTCTCCTCTGCCTGTGTTGCTTGTATTTGCTACCACATTGGAAAACCTGCTTTTGGCATTGAATATTTACTTCATGTGTTATATTATATATAAAGAGAAGTTAATGAATCCTGCTGAATCAAGTTACCTGTGTGTGCTTTCTGGATGTGATTGCTGCAAACTCTGAAAAGCCCAAACTTTCTCTTGCCAGACAGTTGTTGAGCCCCCCCTCCCACCTCCATTTTGTGACCTTTTTTTTTTGCCACGGCTGTTTCAGGGAATAGCTGCAGCTTGTTAAGTTAGTAACATGGTTGTGAAATGAATCTGGCTTCCCCACTGGCTTTGTTTGTCAGGAGTTCGCAAAGGGTGATCACGTGACCTCCAGACACGGCAATCAACGTAGATACAACTCAGTTTCCAAGCACCTGAGTTTTGGATCAGGTAACCACAGGGACTTTGCAACGGTCGCAAGTGTGAAAAATGATCGCAAGTCACTTCTTTCCGTGCAGGCGTAACTTCGAACGGTCAGTAAACAAATGGTTGTTAAGTCAAGAACTATCTGTATCGGGATGAGGAATAGCCTGGAAAGAAGCCTGGAAATTGGGGCTCTTAAATTCCTGGTTGGTGTTTACTCACTTCCTCCACCAGCCGAGCCTGTCCTTGAAGTAACATGGGCATCAGAGCCTTCTGCAGCAGGTAGACAGAGCCTGGGTAGAGCATACGTCGTCCGAAGGTGTGTGCCACTATAAAGCTGTCAACAAATAGGTGGCAAAATGAAGGACAGGAGTCTCAGCATCTGTGCAATCTCCCTGCCAAAGTTTATTCTAGGACAGGGGTGTCAAACTCAATTTCATTCATGTTCTGACTGAGGCTTCCTAAGAGCATGAAGCAAACTCCTTGTCCTGACAAAAAACCCCTTCATTAATTGACTGTGAATTCTGCTCATTCACATCCAGCACAGTCTTTCAAGGGAGGATTTATAATCACAGGCCTTATCTGGTTTGCAGAGCTGACAGGCCGATATCTGCAGGAATCTGAGAGAGTCATGAACTAATTAAGCAGCCTAATTGTCTCCTGCAAACTCCACTCCCCTTTTGCTCCTCTTTTATTTCCCTCTGGGAGGGGCCATTCACCGTCCCACCTGTGGCCTTCCTCCCATCGACCCTTGCTCCTTAGCTGTTCCCTTCGTCTGGCAACTCTGTACATGCACACACTGGGAACAGGCTCCAGCTGTTCTTCTGCCTCACAGATGTCTGACTCTGAAGGCAGCTGATAACTGT